GAAAAAAATTGTTGAAAAAAAATAGCAAGAATTGCAGAAAAAAAGATAAAATATCTCTTAGATTTGCGATGAAATCGTTACAAATAAAGTGCACAAAAAGTGATTATTTAAATTTGCGATCTGAAACTCGCGTCGTAATAAAAATTCCGGGTTTTCGAAATCACGTAGAAAAGCGGAAATAACTGTTTAAAAAAAATCATTTATATTTACGATAAAATCGGCTATTTACTAAAGAATCTGTTAAAATTGATTGTGTCAAAACGTGATGACTTAAAAATGCGATTAAAAATTGCCATTTTTAAATTCTTTTTTACTGTGCTTAGAAGCTCTCGCGGGCCGCACTTCAGCAGTCTAAGGGCGGCATTTGGCCCTAGGGCCGCAGGTTGTGCACCCCTACTTTAATTCTTTACTAATTCTGTTAAAATTTATTGACTTTAACATTTAATTTATGGCTGATCGTTTTTGTTTATATTAACATTTTTAAAAAGTCTTAATGTGTACTATTTACGTGCTTAGTTACGAACTGTTAATGAATCGCTTAAAAGGTCATCCCGCTTATAAGGTCACTTTTGCAATGTCCCTTAGTGTGACCTTATATCGAGATCTGACTGTATATACCTCATCAGAAGACTTATTTTTAATATTATCGATGGTAAAAAAATAATGCCGTGCCAACAAAAAATTTTTTTGCATAAAAAATAAAAAATCAGTCTTGAAAAGGTTAAAAAAAAGTGAGTATAAAAACAAGTAAAATTTTTTTTTATAGATACTTAACTTTAAATTATCTACTCCTGTTCTACTCCTTTCAGCTTAAGAAAACTTAACTTTGATAGACTAATGCAAGTTTTGAGACACCTGGACGTTGAAATAACATCTGCTACAGTTAAAACTAAATTTTTATTATTGATAAATTTTAATATCTATAGAAATGTTACTCTTAAATATTACTGAATCAGTTGAAATAATTATAAATGCATGCTTTTATTATGTAGTCAATGAGTAGAATTATTGGCTGCAGGATAATATTGATCTACATTTAGTTATTTTAAGATGATAGTTAGTTTTTTTTCTTCACATCTTAACTCTAGAAATTTTCCCACAATGAAGAAATGGAAGAAATATTTTTGTTGCAAAATAGACCACCACAATTGCACAGGTATTCTTAACTGTTTTGTTTTCTCTGTAAATACGTACCTCAACTTTTGTTGTTGTTCAATGAGAAGAAAAGAGATATAACAATTATATAAAAGATAACATTACAAGACTAACATTGCAAATGTTGCATAACAAGAGTGCTTTAAAATTGATATTTCTTTAGATTTCAGATAAAGTAGAGGCACATATTTATGTTTAGGTTGTAGGCTCGGATAACAGTTAACTTCACTACATCATAAAATGAAAAGTTGACTCAACTATTTCGCTCATAATTATAATGTAAAATAAATAAGTAAACAATGTTTTCCAGCTAGCAATGTAGCAATGATTTCCTTGTTGCACAGTTACTCTAGATTTTTTGTTTCATGTCCAAGCTTTCATAAATCTATGATTACAGGTTGCTCGAACATATGTACAATTAATATGCTTAATTAATTTGACTTAATTAGATTAGTTAAAGGATGTAATGAAAAAGGCAAACGAGTTTTAAAATAATTATTTTATATAAAATGTAAATTCAATTTTAATTAAAAAAAATTATATTGATAAATTTTATGCAACACAATCATACTTATATGTCAGAATTATTACGATTATTCTAAGAAGAAAAATCTTATTTTTCAAGAATAAAACTAATTTATCCAAACGTAAATTTAAAAAAAAAAATCACTTTTTATCACGATTAATCCTAACTGATGGAATTTTCACTTTATTTATCCAGTGATTTTTCAAAATAAATCAGTTGAATCATACGAACAGTTTTGTTTACACTTTGCTTTAATTTTTCCTCATCAATTTCTTTTGGCACAGTTTTAATTGCATCATTAATGTTGCATGACAAAAATGGAAACTAACATTGCAATCTTAATAAATTCGAAGTTTAGATTTACTATCACCATTTCTTGATATCCTCAAATATAGATTTTAATATTTCATAAATTAAAAAAATCTTCATCAAAACCCCACACAATAGTTTTCTTACCACAGATTTCATAGAAATATAGAATTATTTTCAGCAAATTTCATAAAAAAGTAATAATGTACATGCACATAATATGTACACACATATATACACTACAAAACCAATTATAATTGGGTCAAAATAATACAAGCCTAAAAAAATCTACTGTAAAATAGTTTTTAATGTAAAAAAATAACCATAAAAAATCATTAAGATTTGAATTTGACAAATATTTTTGAAAATCGTTTTTTCAGATCCACGGTAATAAAAAATGTACTTAATTATAAAAACTCTGAAGTTATATTTAACCTTTTTTCGTATGGAAAATAATTCTCATTTTAATTGAGAGAAAAATGTACCTTCTAAAAGTGATAATTTTTCACTAAGGATTTGTGCCTCATTTTAAAACTAAGGATTTGTGCCTCATTTTAAAACTAATCTAAATTTATTTGGAACATGTAGATAGATTAGGGGGCGGGGGAAGCACCAGTTCCTTAATTTAAAAAAAAAAAAAAAAAAAACAATAAAAGTTTTGGCAAATTTATGAATTAAAATTATTAACAACACTGAATGAAGATCTTGCTCATACACCCTGAAATTGATTACTAATGAGATCAAATCGACTCGTATTAATTGGTTAATTAACTCGTATTAATTATGAGGTTGGCAATGTACCTTGTAGTTTTTACCGTGCATGAAATCTTTCATTTTGCTATTATTCTTAACTCAATTACTCTTTATTAGAAAATCCGACTAGTTATTTTTCTTTTTTTCCGTAAGAATAAAAAAATTCTCAAAAAAAAAGGGGGGGGGGACATTGATTGGTAAAATTTTATTGATATTTTATCGACCGGTAAAAGTTTAATACCTTTAAAAAAATAAATTAAAAAAATTACAAATTATTTTTTAAATTTGTAAATTTAATTGTTAAATTAAATGCAACCAAACTTAGAAAGATTTCCTATTCCTGATCTGCGCCAGGATATTTCGCAAGTCTAAGAAACTTCTGGATAGCGGCCTACGAGAGACAAAGCATTACAGACATCAAACAACTTAAAAAGGTATAACTCGTAGTCATCTCCTGGCAAACCTGGACATGTTATTTTTACAAAAAAAAAAAAATTTCAACTTTAAAAACTATTTGGCACTTTGGAGATTGTAGTTTATGTGATAGATTACGTCATTGAAACAACCCTTCAAGATTAAAACCAGTAAAAATAATTATCATTTACGAATTATAACAAAGCAATTGTTTTCAAAAGATGCAATAGAATATTAAAATAATTAATAACAAAATAAAGTAATTATTGCTATAAATAGTTGGACACATGCATATTTACTTTCATCAAGTTCCTGTAGCAAAACATCAAGCATTATAAAATTCTAGTAGGAAACACAGTACTTAAGAATAAGAAAAATCGTAAAAAAAGAGACTCATCAGAGTTATCTGGAAAAATGAGTGTTTGGTTCTCAAATATTAAGAGCAAAGTAAAAAATAAAGCTGTTGAAATTTCCACTATAAGAACAGTCAAATTTCCTTAAGGAGTAACAACAACACTATGCAAAGAACAATGACCTTTAAAATAGTTTAAAAAAATACAAGGTATACAGCACTATTTCTCATAAGTAAAGCAGTAATAAAAACTAAAAAAAAAAACAAATCAATAAAACTTTAAGAGTACCGTATTGATCTTAAAGATTGCTCTTGAGATATTTATCATGAAATCAGATAAAAATTATTATTAGAAATTTAAAATTTCTTCAGTGCATATAAAACTTGTTTTTTATTTTCTTGTAATGATAAGGATTAATCAAAATGAAGGCTTATGAGCGCGAAATAATATGCTTATAACTTGATTTGACATATAATGAAGCAAAATATATAACTTAAGTATTATTTTTGCTGTATGCAAATTACAAACGCAATTAAGAGAATAGGGAAACTTGATTGGTGAGTTTTACCCGTAGAAGATACTCTACCAATCAGTGGATGGATGGAGGTTGAGTTTGGGATCAATCGTACTACGCAGTTGACTGATCGTAAGGACACGGTTTTCAGTCGAACACCGAAGTCAAATATCACTGGCTTTAACCAGTAAGCGGAAGGAGAACTATTTTGATTAGTCCGCGTAGGTATCGAAGGTGCAGGGTATCAATTCTCGTTAAACTGTTCCTTTGTGAAGTGTTCAACTTCTCGCAGATCGTCGAGCTACCAAGGAGCTGTAGGGCGTAAATAAAGTACCTACAGCTGTCAGCGATTTTTTTTGTTGCATGTGATAAAAAGCACAGGTAGGGAGAATAGTCATTTATTAATATTTTTAAATTAATTTCACTGGCTGTTGTTGTTGTTGTTAATTTACGTCGCACTAGAGTTGCACAATCCGCTATTGGCGACGGTCTGGGAAGCATCCTGGAGGATGATCCGAAGACGTGCCATCACAATTTTGATCCTCTGCGGAGGGGATGGCACCCTCGCTTCCGTAGCCCGACGACCTGCGCGCGAAGTCGAGCACTTTACGGTAGCACAGTTTAACGAGGACCAATACTGCTCACCCTCGGTCCCTACGCAGATTGATCCAAGTGGTCACCCACCCGCACACTGACCGTAGCCAGTGATGCTTGACTTCGCTGATCTGCTGGGAACCGAGTCTCAACGATCAGTTCACTGCGGGACTAATTTCATTGGCAAATTTTTGAAGAAATTTTATTCGCGTTCACAACGCTCACATAAGCTAACTGGGAAGCAAACTAGTTCCACTTTACCCTTTCCTTTCCCTTTCTTCTTCTTCTCAGTTGTATGGAAATGTACTACGATATTTCCCGTTCCATAATATTTTTTCGTATTTAAGTGTCAAAAATATTTTCTTAAATTATCCGAAACTTTCTTTTAGAAATATGTTTAATGCAGTTTTCAGTTACACAAAGTTTCCTAACTTGAAAGTTTTTAATCTATTTGAAAGGGAAGAAAAAAAAACTATAGTTTTATAACGTACTTTCTTCTCCACTGACTATCCATATCATAATGGGGAAAATATGCGAAGTGTTGCCATAGTTAGTGAGTTCTACTCTGTGCTACCATTTCGATCGCTAATTAGAAAATGTAGGCGATAAATTAAAAAAAAAACAAATTACTCGTGATTTAGGACGCTTGCTGTACAGTGGGCAGCTTATTAATTTTTAAAATTACTTTGTACCAACAAATAGACAACACGTAGTCTTTTCATTTAATAATATAGAAAAATGTTGTATGTCAATTTACATAGTCTAAGTCATATTTATATAGTATATTTATATAGTATTTCATAGTTGGAAGAAATATTTACGTTCTGTCTATTTTCTATACAATGGCAAAACGTAAATATTTTCTCCAACTTGGCTTTAAATCTAAACAAACACTGGTTTTGAGAGTCCTCACACATACACAAACAAGCAGACCTCATTATTTAACGAAAACGGTTATACCTTTTTTATGGTTTCAAAGATCAGCAAAAGTTAAAGCCGATATTTAGATAGAAAAAAAAATAATTAAAGAGCAATCACGTGTTGTCCATTTTTAAAAATTAGTTTTATACAGAAAAGGAAGCAGAAAAGGATGGAATAATATTCCTGATCAGCTAATTAAGTAAAAAAAGAGTGTAAAAGATTTTATGAATGAAGTGTGCTAAACATTTTAAAAATCTTCGATATCAACTCTTTCCATTGTTTAGCTAATTTAATCAAAATTATAAATTAGAAAATACAATATTTAATTGATCATTTTCTAATTTTATCACTTTAAAGACATGACTCATTCAGCGGGAAATTAATTCCTTTTTAAAGTAATTTTCTCCTTCAGTACAGGTATTTGTTTGACCAGTTTTATTGAGATAAAACGTTGATCATTTTCACGATATAATTTAATCATAATAAAATAATAAAAACTCGCAGTATAGCTATGAATGGGAGAGAGAAGAGTTAAGTTATATTATCTCTACACATTGTAAAAAAGTTGCACGTCTAATTGTTCCCTCCTCATTATCATACGGCGTGTTCTGTAATTACTTTTATTATACATATTCTTCGAATACTTGTTAACATTGAAGAAATAAGATAGAAGAAATAAGACATTAGGAGGCTGAAATCATAATTAAAATTAATTTCTTCTTGAGAGTGAAACCATTAAACTTCTTTGATTGGCTTAGGACTTTAAGGGGAGGTGGACAAGGTAATTCGTTGAAAGACTTCAAACTTCATCCTGTCAACAAACTGATGTAAATTATTTTAATTCCGTCTTCCTCAACGATATATATTTTGGTAACGCTTTACGTTACTCGTTTAATGTTAAAAGCTTCCTCACATAAATATTAATTTGCCATTCATAACGTATTTGTTGTTACTACATTTTTTTACAAGGATTCTAAAATATCATGGGTATTATGATTATGACTCAATATATCTTTTTATTATAATTAATTGCTGAAAACCCAAGGATATTTCTAAACAGCAACAAAGATCCTGAAATAATGTTCGTTTTTCTATGAGGAACCATGAATTATCTTCAACGGCCAAGTCTACTAATAGTGAAAAATATCAATTATCGCCAAGTTTTTGATTTCAGGAAAATATAACTATTTTAACTCGTCACTGTTTTGTTTGCCGGTGGTGAGGTAACAGAGGAGTTGAAAAACAATTTTTGAGAGACCCGGTTTCATCAGGCATTCAAACTAGTTCCGACTTCTTTTGTTCTATTTTCTTTACACGTGATTCAACAGATTAAGTCCCCTTTTTTTGGCTAAATATTAATTTACGCAACAAATGTACATATTTTCTTCACTTATTTCTAAACAAGGTGTCTAAAAATTGTATATTAAGGGTGATAATTATGAAGTATTTATATGTAATTGCTATGTAATATAGGAAAATTATGAGATGGGTTAAAATACGGCAAATTGTTTATTCATTTCTGTTATCACTTTTTCTTAAATGCACTGCGTGTAAATTACTTTGGTAATGTTATAAAAGTGGGTAAAACATGTTGTAAATATTTTTCTGTTGTTGATGTCTTAAGAAGTTGGTTATTTTTTTCTTTCGAAAACGATAACACATGCACCATTCGTGAAGAGCAAGAACACATGTGTAGCAAATTGAAGAAGATTGAAAGTTCTTTGCGAAGTTCCTTAACTTTATAGCGAATTTTACTAAAATACTTTTTCCATTTCTTCTAAAATTACTAAATATCTCGTTATAAAAATTAAAAGATAAAAATTTGCTCAAGATACTTTGTTTGATTTATTTCGAGTCAGTATTTTACTATTTTAAATGATAATTATAGAATTCACGAATTGAAATTACATAAAAAAAAGTAGAAGCATGCAATAAAATTCACGAAAAACATAGCAACCCACTTTAATTAAGCGTTGGCTATGTTTCCCGTAGAAGAGTTCATTTTGGAAAAGAAGTCCAGAATATTACAAACTGTGTACAATTTAAAAAAAAAAAAAAAAATAAATAAATAAATAAAACGACCTTTTCACGTTCTAGGATTCAATCTATAGCTGGAGTTATTTCGATGGTCAGAAATCCGAAATCGTCGAAAAAATTGTAAGTTTATTAGTACGTTTTTGTGTCTGATTTTCTATTTTAAAACATTGTCTGCTTTTATTAATTAGTATATTTGAGATTACCTTCCCGAGCTATTAAGATTGAACCCTAGAACTGGAAAAATCTGATCATTAGATCAAAAGTAATTCAGGATGGTCCGTTTTTTTCCCACTGTACGTCATATATTAATGAACAATGATATTTTAATATTATTGTTCATGAAATTTATAATAATTTCAGACAACCTAACATTTTAAGAGTTATTAAATTTTACTGGATCAGATGGATAGAACGCAATTTTTCGACATGAAGATTCAGTCAGAGAAATCGACATTTTTACAGATTGTCGACAGTACAAAGAGAAGAGACAGACTGGCTACGAGGTGGCTGCGTAGCGTGGAGGATTTGAGAGTTTTGGGAGTGAACAGGTGAATAAACCTTGAAGTAAATTGTTTGCAAACAAAATTGCAAACAAAGAAAACTATAGTGCTGCTCATAATAACGATATTAAAAACAATTTTTTTTTTTTTTTAACTTGCCTAAGTGAGTTTTATGTTTTCACGACAGTTGTTGAACTTAATTTTAACTTCTTAAATACGAGAAATCTTCGGAAAAAATTAAGTTTTTTGAAATACATTGAGATATTATGCAATTAAACCAGCTCTTCAAACAGTTTAATTTTATTCCATCTACTTTTAAAAGTTTTTTGTTGATCTGTAAGTGCTCATCTGATATGTTTGCTTCTTCTTTATATCTGTATTTTTGAAATTTTTGAATGACATCTGCGTTTATTTTTTCAATTTGACGAATGTATGAATCACCTTTCCGTTTGTTACTTTATTTCGTTTTAAGACTATCTTGTCGACGAGACTTATTTCACTTAGATAACACAATATCTTAATTCATTGCTTTTACTTTGCACAACTATAAATATTTAAATCCTGCAAGATCATTTTGTTTAAACAGTTAAATTTTAGCCTCCCATTTGATCATCTTCACCTGCAACTTGTTTAGAACTCTGTT